ACTTTAAAACTGGTCAAATAATACAATATTTGTATGATATAGTATACGTGTTATTTATATTTTGCATTTGATTTGTTTGACTATTACAGTGATAAAGTACACATTCTGTTGGTCATCATACACACAATCCACCATCCCCTGCATCGGATAAACCCCCCCTCCAAAAAAACAGAGGTAATTCTGAGAACGTTTACCCATGTCTTCTTTCTTGTATGTGTGCAATAGTGGCCTCATATATAACATGAGAAAATTCAAGTCTCCCCCATTAGAAGTGCTTCTGCAAACTAGGAAAAAAATAACAGGCAAAAGTGCAAGTAGCAAACTCTACTGATTTGTAACAGATACATTAATTACAAACAAACAGCTTCTCCACATGAACTGCAATCTGGTTGTAGGCGGTCATACACTTCCAATGTGACACGTTTTTTAAGGAGAAAAAAAATGTTAAAAAGTTGTTACTTCCTAAGAATCTTTATATTGTTCCTTATTTCTCACCTTACAGTCTTACAATACAGTGAGCACGTTTTTTTGTGCCACCATATAGGTTACACACTTCAAACGACATACTTCTCAAACAACATACTTTTAATAGCAAAACAGAGGAATATAAGAAAATATTTAACAGCTGTTGGCCCATTTACTTGTAGTGTATTCTAACGGCTGGCTACCTGTCAGGAAATCATTGGATTCCTACTACTATCATACCCAGATTACCAAGAAGCTAAGATACCCAGAATTCTCTCATATCTCTCTATCTCACCTGCCTTCGATTCTAACCATCACCGCATTGACAATAAACCCCTCTGTTTACCTGAACTCCTCTTGTCTCTTGCCTGTTTGTGACCGAAGACCGGACACAACCAACACCTCCATGGATCCCTGTCTTCCATCCACAGCAGAGGTCCTCGAGGAACTAGTCAGCGCACTCAGGACCTCCCTCACGCCAGTCACCACCCCATCATCTGCCTCTGTAAGTCCCATGGACCTGCCTGCTTCATATGCTGGTGACGCGGCTGTGTGTGGCGGCTTCCTTCTACAAGTGGATCTGTTTATAGAAATGCAGCCGCAGAAGTTCACAACGGAACGTTCGAAGGTAGCCTTCTTAATTTCCCTCCTAAACGGCAACGCGCTGGAATGGGCCCAAGCAATATGGAACACTGATGGTACCATAATTAATTTCTATGATGCTTTCAAAAATCATTTCAAGGAAGTGTTTGGCTCCACGACAGGAGAGCTTTCTGTGTCCGACCAACTTCTGCGCCTGCGTCAAGGCTCCTCCACCACCAGGGAGTACACACTACAATTTCGCACACTAGCGGCGACTAGTGGCTGGAATGAGGCGGCCCTCCTCAGTGCCTACCGTCAAGGTCTGGACACTCCCTTTCGTGCTCAAATGGCCATCTACGATGACAACATCGGACTAGAGGGCTTCCTACAACGAGCCACTCGCATCTCGCAACGGTTGTCAGCCTGCCAGCCCCACGAAGCCGCCTACCAACCCTTCGCGTCCACCAGCGGTCCCTCTGTACCAGAGCCCATGCAAATGGATTACACCCGACTCACTCGCGCCGAGCGCGCTCGCTGCTTGGCGGCCGGACTCTGCCTGTACTGTGGTGCTCCAGGACATTTCATCAGCTTCTGCCCAGTCAAACTCCCACGCCCGGCGGTGAGTACCCTACAAATAGAACCAGAAATATCAATGTCATCAGCAAGGAGGGTATCCAGATGGACCAGGGGAAGGTGAAGGCCATCAGGAAATGGCCGCTTCCACAGTCGGTGAAGGAGTTACAAAGGTTCTTGGGGTTCGCGAACTTCTATCGACGGTTCGTGAAGAGTTTCAGCATGCTCACGGCCCCCCTTACTTCCATGCTACGAGGCAAACCCAAGTCCCTGTCCTGGAACAGCCTTGCCCGCGAAACCTTCAACCAGCTCAAGGAGGCCTTCAGCATGGCCCCCATCCTTCAGCATCCGGATCCGTGAAGCCAAAAGACTCAACCCTCGTCAAGCCCGATGGGCTTTGTTCTTCACAAGGTTCCAATTCACAATCACTTACAGACCTAGAAATCACAATTGCAAGGCTGATGCGCTATCCCGTATTCACTCTCCTGACAGTCCAACGGAACCAGAACCCATTCTCCCTCCAGCCCTGATCGTCAGCCCCATACAGTGGAACATCAACTAGGACTTCCGTGACGCCACTCGCACCGAACCTGCTCCGCCGGGCTGCCCAGAAGGGAAGACGTATGTTTCCCACCTCCCAGCGTCAGACCCTTCTGGGCTCAGTGCATGAAGTACCGGGCTCTGGACACCCAGGCAGGCAACGGACCCTCTCGCTCCTCCAGGCTCGGTACTGGTGGCCCAGTATGACCCAGGATGTCAACAGGTACATCCTAAGCTGTTCAATCTGTGCCATGTCTAAAACCCCACGTCATCTCCCCGCAGGCAAGCTCGTCCCACTGCCCGTGCTCAGCTGGAGCCGCTACCTTCCTTGGGCCGAGTATGCACAAAACTCCCTCCTTCAGAATACCACCAGCCTGACGCCTTTCCAGTGCATGCTCGGCCACCAACCCCCACTCTTCCCCTGGACAGAAGAGCCCTCGGAGGTTCCAGATGTGGACTACTGGTTTTGAGAGAGCGAGAGAGTGTGGGACTCAGCTCACGTCCAGCTCCAACAAGCAGTGCGGAGGCATAAGTTATTCGCAGATGCCCGGCGTACCGCTACTCCCACCTACCAGCCTGGAGAGCTGGTTTGGCTGTCCACCCGGGATCTGCGCCTCCGCCTGCCCTGTAAAAAGCTGAGTCCCCATCAACCAAGTCACCTACCTTCTGCAACTTCCTCCCAGGTACAAAATTCACCCCTCGTTCCATGTCTCACTCCTCAAACCTTGTTCTTCCTCCTCCTCCAGATCCACCGAGCCAGAAGCACCCCCTCCTCCTGAGGTTCTGGATCAGCCCTCGGTGTACCAGGTGACAGAAATCCTGAATTTGCGGCAACAGGGTGGCCGGTTACAATATCTTATTGACTGGGAAGGATACGGACCAGAGGAGAGGTCCTGGGTGGCCCGCGACACCATACTGGATCCATCCCTGCTGGAAGAATTCCACCGCAACCATCCAAACCGTCCCGCACCCCGAAGTCGCGGGCGCCCCTCGTCGTCCTTACAAGCTTTACTAACTGTTGTTTCCTTACCTCCAGAAGTCCATTCAGTCTCCGCTATTCCGATTCTCCTCAGCCCCGGTTCATCTCCAGGATTCCTACTACTATCATACCCAGATTACCAAGAAGCTAAGATACCCAGAACTCTCTCATATCTCTCTATCTCACCTGCCTTCGATCCTAACCATCACCGCATTGACAAACCCCTCTGTTTACCTGAACTCCTTGTCTCTTGCCTGTTTGTGACACTACCTCTGGCACATCAGTGGCTGTAATAATTGAATAAACATAACACAGGAAACAATTTACAACATTTTGTGCACAAACTAACAATTATATTCTAACCTTGCTTAACTTTGTTCGAAGCTGAAACGTAATTACCTTGTTGAAAAGTTTTTGTGATCCGGTGAAAACGCACTAATATTTTCAGAGTCGCTTTAACACAAAACATGAAACTCATGAATATTCATGTTTACTCCGCCCAGTGACACCAAATATCTCAGACACCGAATATTTCAGAACAACAGCCGAAATGCATCAGTGTGCAGTGTTTTATTCATTTTTTTTTTTTTTATGTTTCTAGAGTAAGCCATGTTTTATTAAAGGCTTTTTAATATTCTGGAACCGGAAGAAGTGCCTTGGATTCTTATTTTCTATAGATACAAGTTTGAACCCAACCAAAGAGCACCTTCTGGGACTATTAAACGGAGGTCCTTTCAGCAAGTAGCGCTCCAAGATGTTTTCCTTGATATTGTAATATGTCTGTAATTTGAATATTGTCTTTGTTATTGTAATATTTTTGATATTTAGGCAATTTAGAAAATATCAGGAGAAATGAAGAGACTGAAAAGGAAAATGGAAGTGAAGGTGCAGTTCAGGAGAGAACATTTAATTATTTGCATGTCCCCAGCATAAGGATTTCAACTTTTGTTTTTTTTTTTTGTTTTTTTATATGTGATGGCCATGGCTATCCTTGGAAATCCCAAGGATGGTTATCCTTGTTTCAGAATTGTTTGTGGGTCTATGGGATGGCCTGAATGAGTGTGAGATTTCCCGGCCTGAAATTTTGTCCCAGTCCGCCACTGTTTGAGAAGGTGATTAGTTACACCTGATTGAGTTTACAAATCATTTTTAGGCGGGGGGATGATCCTTTTTCCAACTTCCAAATTTTTTTTTTCTGATATCTTGGTGTTATATCTTTCTCTTGGATGTTATAAGTTGTACTGAGTAAATACAGCTGGATAAAACAAAAACGGTGTCCGTCTTCATTTCAGGCTACAAAGCAACAAAATGTGATTATTTTAAAGGGGGTGATTCTTTTCTATACCCACTGTACCTAGTGACCTGAATATCATAGAGATTTGGGTTAGTTGGTGGCCACCTAGCAGCCACCCAGAATATCCTAGAAACCACTAAGACAAGAACCTAGGTAAAACAGCCCAGTAAACTACCTAGTTATGCACTAAAACCCTTCAGAAACCCTTCCCTTTAGCAACTGTGTTGCAGCGCCCTAACAACCACCCATAACACCAATCAGTGTCCCCTCATAATACATCATGTGGGTCATGCAAAATAAGTATTGTATTGATTATAAAGTAATGTTTGCCACTTAAAATGTCTGCTTAATGTATAGCTTCTGTATGGTTTCAGTGTAGTTTGTGCATAAATGTGTTCTGGTAGTTGGCTTGTTGCCTGATTTCTGCATGCAATGTGTTCAGGTCCTGGCTACACAATGGTGAATGCAGAGTAAGCAGTAGCCTCACCGGCTGTTCTCTGCTCCGTTGTTGTGGATGGAACATACCAGTGTTTTGGCACAATACACCCCTGCCCCTCCATTTTAGGGACTGGAGGTCAACAACAACTCCCTTTTTCCCCATTTCTTTTCTTTCTTTCTTTTCTTTCCCCTGCATCCCTTCCACAGCATGGGCTCAGGGAGCAGGATAAAGTTTGCTGTTTGTGAGGTGCTGCAGTTTGCCAGTTTTTGTGTTCCACTCTTTATCATAATGCAACGTTTTGCCCTTATTGTGGCTCGAGTAAAAAGTCAATTGCAACCAACTGGTGGAAATTCTACAACAGCATATTGGCTAATTGTGGCTTCATCTGTGGCCTATGTAACATCAGTGACAATGCTGATTTGGCTACCTATGAAGTATATGGTGTTCATGAAGAAGAAGGCACTGGTTGCTCGGAAGAAATGGTGAGAGAAAAAAAGGAGTGATTTTTCTTCTGGATTTCATTAAATATACAAATAGCTTCACAGAGAGCCGTGGAAAAACTGGAAAAAAAAAAAAAAAGGAGCTTACCTTTGTCTCTTTTGGATATGTTACCATAGTGAAATCACATTTTAGAGACTTGGTTACATAATATTGTGGTATTATTTGAAGAATCTTGAAGACCCACCTAAATATGAGAGTAATTTGTTATTATGATATTAAGTACTACGATAAAACCATTACAGTACCATGGTACTAAATGATCATCATATTTGTATCAACACAGTACTTCTCAGAGCTTGGATAATATCATATCGATTTACCATGGTATTCAGTTACTAAAAGTGTTTCAGAATATATTACTTAATTTGAGTAATTATCAGCTGTTTTGGCCTTTGTGAACAGAAGCAGGCAAAACTAATTTTTATTTTACTCATAAATGTTCTGAGGTTAATTGTTCTTTGATCAAATTTCATTATGATAGAATGACAGAACTGTTTTTCACCTTTCAGGAGACCTGTTGCTTTGGCCTTTGTACTTCTCTCAACACTGCCCTGTTTTGCCTTCCTTATAGCCAGCTCTGAGGTAAATACATATTTGACTATTCACAGAAAACCGACTGAAGGAGATTGAAATGTTTTGTAACAATATACACTGCTGTTCAGAAGTTTGGTTTCATACTCTTATTCATATTTTAAATATGCTAATATGTTTATATGTTGATATGTGAAATTGATAAAAAGTGATAGTAAAGACTTACATTGAAAATTCAGCTTTGCCACTACAGGAATACATTATATTTTAAATTATATTAAAATAGAAAAGTGTTATTGACTGAAAAAAAAAAAATGCAAATTTTGATTTAGTCTAAGAACACATGGGATTATACTAGTGACATGTAGTAAGGAAGATCTAAGCTGCCTTTGATTGCTACGATGTACTACAGTAACAATCAGTTTCTCCTCTTGTTTTGGTTTACACAATTTTGGGTCTTCAGCCTTTCTTTCACTTCCTGACGATGTTTAATGATCTAATGTGTGTGTGTGTGTGTGTGTGTGTGTGTGTGTGGTGCATAACATAGGCATAGCATGGTTCAGTAAATACAATCATAAATTCAGCTAGACTTCAGCTAAACTTCCATGTTTATAGTATTTTACAACTTGTACTTCATGAATATAAGAAATACTCAAAATGTAAGACAACAAATAATAATTACATTTGAAATAAGGAATATCATTATAGTATAATACATGCATTTATTACATCACTGTAATGAGGTGGAAGCTGAGTTAGAATGCATATGCAGTCGTTTATTAAAATCCACAGCAAACAAATCCAAATCGGCAGGCAGAGGTGATGCACAATAAGGCAGTCCAATTCAAACAACAGAGCAAAGGGATAATCCAAAAGGCAACAACGGAGCAGAGAAGGCAATGGACATACTGTACACAAGAGAAACAAGACAATGATAGTAGAACACTCAGTAAGGCAAGTGAACTGGCGATACTTCGCAATGGCCTGTTAGCCAGGCCATGCTTAAAAGGTTAGTTCACCCAAAAATGAAAATTCTGTCATTAATTTCTCGCCCTCGTGTCATTTCAAACCCGTAAGCCCTTCGTTCATCTTCGGAATACAAATTAAGATATTTTTGATGGAATCTGAGAGCTGTCTGACCCTGCATAGACAGGAACACAACTGAAATGTTCCCAAGTCCAGAAACGTAGCAAGGAGATGGGTAAAATAATCCATGTGACATCAGTGGTTCAACCGCAATTATACGAAGCTACGAGAATACTTTTTGTGCGAAAAAAAAATAAAGACTTTATTCAACAATTCGTCTCCTCCGCATCACCCTGTAGCGCTATTTTGGAGACTATCAGCTGGACGTAAACAGAGTATGCTGTTCTGTGTCAACTGCATAAACAGATCCAGCGTGACGCAGATCTGTTTATGCACAAAAAGGCACAAAAAGTATTCTTGTAGCTTTGTATAATTGCGGTTGAACCACTGATGGATGGATTATTTTACCCATCTCCTTGCTACGTTTCTGGACTTGGGAACATTTCAGTTGCGTTGTAGAGGTCTGCATCCGCCGCTGCTTCAGTGTACAACTGTTGGCGCAAGCTAGACTAAAGTGATGATTACGTTTTGAATATGGATATTTCTTACAAAAATGCATCAATTCGCTACAGGAGGCCTTTGTTCACCCACCGGAGCTGTGTGAGACACCTTTTTTATGGATGGGCGCTTTTTATTTCACTTCTTTTGGACTGAAGCACTGCAACACCTGCTGACTGCCATTAAACAGCTTGAAAGATCAAAGACAATTTTTAATATAACAGGCTGGATTCGTCTGAAAGAAGAAAGTCATATACACCTAGGATGCCTTGAGGGTGAGTAATTTATGGGCTAATTTTCATTTTTGGGTGAACTAACCCTTTAATATTCTTATATACACTGCTCGAAAAAAAAGAATAAAAATGAGGAATCGCTTTAATCACACATTAGGTCTCTATGAATTAAATATTCAAGTTGAAAATATTTACTTATATACATGTGATGTGAAAATGATAAACGGAAGCCAAAAACATCAAGCCACTGAGGGTTGGATTCAAAATCACACCGAAAACCAGAGTAAAAATGTAAAGGACTGGGCCTGACAAAAGAGATCCAATTGCAAGCTTTATTTAAAACAGACCGTGGTTAAAACAGGAAGGGGCGAACACCAGCAAACAACAGTATCCAGGGCAAGGCAAAAGAGTAATCCAAAAAACAGGCAATGGTCAAGGCAGGCAGCAAACATTCATAAAACAAGGAAACAGTCCAAGATCAGAATCCAAGTGAGCAGTCCAAATTAACAAAACAAGCAGATATTAGTCCTATGGCCCCATCCAAGTTCTTCTTGTGTAACCGCCTGTCGCTCTGTATCTCCTCCATGCTCTTGAGATTGTGCTCCGAGACATACCAAACCTCCTTGCAACGACACATATAAATGTGCCATCCTGGAGGAGCTGGACTACCTGTGAAACCTGATTGGGTTGCAGATACTGCCTCATGCTACAAGTAGTGAGAAGCACCCTAACAAAACTAGAGACAAATCAGTCAAGAAGGAATTCTCTGTGGTCACCACCTGGAAAACCATTCCCTTTTTGGGGTTTGTCTTGCTGTTGCCTATCAGGTGCACCTGTTGTCACTTTCATTTGCAGCAAAGCAGGTAAACTCTTACGCTTCCTAACTGGACAGATTTATATCCCTGAAGTTTAATTGACTTGGTGTTAAACTGTGATTAAGTGTTTCCTTATTGTATTTATTGATTGATTGATTGATTGATTGAGCAGTTTTTAATAACATTTGCATGTTAAGATGATACTCTAGATCAGTGCTTCTCAAACCTGTTCTGGGGACCCCCAAATTTTTCGGTACTGTAACTGACAAAAATTAACAAAGCATCAGCAATATGTTGAAATGATGAAGCAAGTTTTTCAGAAAGCTCATAGCTGGAATTTTTATACAGCTCCACAACTTATCTATGTATAGACTGAAGTCTGAGACTTGCAAAGAAGGCATTAGAAGCATACATCAGGACCATCTGTTGCCCATTGGGGGTAGTTTGTTTACCACTTCATCCCACAGGGGGATTTTACAATAGAGCTTGAAACAACACATAACAGACATACAAACACATAATCATAATAAAATACATAAACCATATTTAAGTTGTGTACATTTTTATTAAAAGTTTCTATCTACAAAGTCGAACTCTAACTTGGTTCTATAAGGTTCTATCTGTGAGCCAATCAGTACTTTGAATGCACACAAGAGGACCGATCAGGATCAACTAGGCTATCTTTATCAAGTAGCTGGACTGCAGTGACAGCAGGAAATAGTAGCCTAAATGTGAAATATTTTAACTTTAAAATATCTTTAATTATATATAGTTAGTGAAATATTTTCAATGTTTATTACCCTCCCCCTCATTCATTTCTTAACCCTCTGGGGTCTGAGGGTGTTTTCGGGCCCTGGAGAAGTTTTGACATGCCCTGATAGTTGTGCTTTTTTCAGTTGCTTATAAACATTTTAATGACTAAAGTTTAATGACACTGTAATCAGCACAAACTGGGCTACAATAATGTGTGAGCAGCATGTATGTATGTGATTGTGTTTTTGAGAAAACAACGTTTATGCATGCTTAGTGAAAAACTAAAATTTTAAAGTCACTGAAATAAGGCCATAAAACGCATACAGAACATTTGCTCACAAGACTTTTGAGAACTGGATCTTGAAGTCTAGAGTTTTTGCTTCAAAATGATGTGAAAAACATCTTACTCACTCACAGAAAAAAATATATTGATTTAAATTATCTAAGACACCTTTTGTGTAGAAAAGGTATATGCGAGGGGGCGTGAATGGTCATGCATAATGCTGTGATTCACGCCTGAGAAGACAAAGGCCCACATAATGAGCTGCATATAGGTTTGCATCGATCCGATACTCAGTATCGGTATCGGCTCCGATACTGCCATTTTCTGTCGGATCGCGTATCGGTCAGATAAGACCGATCCAAGTCCGATATAGTGCGTATACTATTCTGTGTTATTGTTAAGCCCCATGAAAGGCACAAAAACATTATAAATCACCATAATGTTTTCGTGCACTATATTTCAAGTGTTCTGAAGCCGTTCCATAGTTTAATGTGAAGTATAGATGAATATTTAAGTCAAGTGGATGTAAACACTTCTCCCTGCTGCATCTGTCTGTCATCCTCCATTCAGCATTCAAACTGCATGACGCGTTCGGCTACTACAGTCAAAACGATGAAACTCTCTTCAAGAGCGCACAATAACTGAGATGTAAAACTGTTAAAAGAAAAGGCTCAATAAAATATCGCACATATATAATACAATACGCATCAATATCTCTTCCCTTTTTTATGCGGAGCGCTGCACGCTGTGACTCCGTATTGCTTCAAGCGCATCATTCTGCGCACAGGATGCGCACAAGCACTTTATGCTGCTCTGTATTGGAGCCATACCCTTTCATATTATACTTTTGCGCAATGAAATATTGTCAATAGTCTTTTTTGTTCTGTTCTATCTATCATATGTTGCTGCCTTCATTACTGTGTTATGCATTTAAAAGAAATGTCTTTTAATTTTATTTTATATTATATATATATATAAATATATATATAATTTGGTAATTTACCAAATTAAAGTTCATTGAAAGTATTTTTTACATATTAAAAGTTTGTTTTATAGCAAAAGCAGATAACTCCAACAGTTGTTTTTTGGCAAAAGCAGATAACTCTACATTTCATGTTTTAGAGTAAAAAAAAAAAAGCACTTGTTTAATCTTTGTAACCTCAGATGACAATGTAGATGCCTGACAAACGTTGTTGTTGTGATCATAAACTGTATGCATGTGATTACACGCAATACACAGAGCTTTTCCCTCACTTTGACGAAACTCTTCTCAGCTAGCACGTCTTTTCAAAGTGAAAGTAGCCTTGTCACCTGACCTGAATACAGCGCGCTGATTTGCTAAAATTGACTTATCGGCTTCTGTTCAAAAACAACAAGGGCCCT